AGAATACGTCCAAGAATTATTTGAGGATGACATGATACAACAGGATAGCATGAACGATTGCGAGGAACATGATATAGGTCCAAATATAACTAAGGATGAAATAATACATGCAATAAATCTGGCAAAATCTAATAAAACTGCGGGACCTGACACAATTCCAACTGAAATAATTAAATTAATATCAGAAGATCAGATCAATGTATTAGTAGACTTATATAATACTATATATAATACGGGTATTATTCCGAGAGATTGGCTCAAATCAACATTTATTACATTACCAAAAAAACCTAATACAAGGGAATGTAATGACCACCGTATAATTAGTCTAATAAGTCACACACTAAAAATATTCTTAAAAATTATCCATTTAAGAATTTTCAGAAAAGTGGAACAAGACATCACTGAAACACAATTTGGATTTAGGAATGCCATGGGTACACGAGAGGCATTATTTGGATTTAACGTCCTCATGCAAAGATGTATGGATGTAAACCAACCACTCTATGTTTGTTTTATTGATTATAACAAGGCGTTCGATAAGGTCCGACACAACCGTCTTATACAGTTACTTAAAGACAAACACATTGACAAAAAAGACTTAAGAATAATAACTCATCTCTACTTTAACCAAACAGTAAAAGTCAGAGTCGGCAGAGAACTTTCGGAGGAAGTAGAGATAAAAAGAGGCGTAAGGCAAGGTTGCATACTCTCCCCCTTATTAATCTCTCCTAATTAAGAAATAATTTAAAAAATCACTCGAAAATGTAACAATTGGAATAAAAGTCAACGGCAGACCCATCAACAATATCAGATATGCCGATGATACTATACTAATTGCAGAGAATATACAAGATCTACAGACACTTTTAGATAATGTCGTAAATGCTAGTGAGGAAAGCGGACTAACGCTTAATGCTAATAAAACAAAATTTATGACAATTTCCAAAACACAACAAGACATTATAAACATAAGAGGAGTTGCAATAGAAAAAGTAAAAAACTACAGATATCTTGGTACAATTATTAATGAAAATAACGAGTATACAGAAGAAATAAAAATGAGAATTGGACAAGCTAGAGCAACATTTAATAAGATGAGAAAAGTATTATGCAGTAGAGACCTTAGTTTACAACTCAAAATAAGAATATTACGTTCTTACGTGTTTTCGGTGCTGCTGTATGGGGTGGAGGCCTGGACCTTAAAGAAAGAGGTGAGCGATCGACTTGAAGCATTCGAGATGTGGACCTACCGAAGAATATTAAAAATAAGTTACAGGGAAAAATACAGGGAAAACGAAGTATTGGAAGACGACGCATCTCCTGGCTCAACAATCTGAGAAAATGGTATAATTGCAGTTCCATTTACTTGTTCAGAGCTGCAATCTCAAAAGTGAAAATAGCTGTGATGATTACCAACCTCCTTAGAGGAGATGGTACCTAAAGAAGAAGAAGAAAAACATAATCTTAAATTTTCAGTAACTCATATCTTTTTAAGAAAGAAATCTTTCTTAAAACTATTTATATAAATTTCATAGAGGTCAGCGTAATATGTGCAATATAAAATTATCATCATCTTATTATTATCATTTTCGTATTGAAAGAGGCGTTCGGCAAGGAGGCAAGATGTCTCCTAAATTATTTACAACTTTGCTAGAATATGATTGTAAAACAATAGATTGGAACGAAAAGGGCATCAATGTAGATGGAAAATTTTTAAATAACCTTAAATTTGCAGATGATATCGTTCTTATTGCAGACAGCTTTTATCAGGCACAGATAAAGCTCCAATTCTGCCACAAAAAGAGTATGTCTTAAAATAATTTTTTCAAAAACACAATTTATAACAAATTAAGTCCACAACAAAAACATCTCAATAGAAGACAAAGATATTGAGCCAGTTGACTCCTATAAATACTTGGGCCATAAGATCAGAATAAGTCGAGACCACGAAACCATCGAGCTGAAAAGGATATTTTTAGGACTAAGATTCCAATGAGTCTGAAAAGAAAAGTATTTAGCAGTGTATTTTGACAGTGATGACCTACGGCGCAGAAACCCTAACACTCACAAGAACAACAGTGAGTAAACTACAAGTTGCAGAAAGGGCAATGGAGAGAATAATGTTAGGGATTTCTTTACGTGATAGAATACCCAATGCTACTATACGCAAAAGATTCGGAGTAGCAGACGTTATTGAAAGAATAACAACACTAAAGTGGAACTGGGCAGGTCATGTAGCAAGATCAGTTGATGACCGGTGGACAAAAAGAATTTTGAAATGGAGACCCCGAATACAAGCTAACAGAAATAGACGTCCACCACTAACGAGATGGACAGATGACATAAAAAGAGTGACTACAAATTGGATTCAGATGGCGCAAAATCGGACTAAGTGGAAAAGCATGCGAGAGGCCTATGTTCAGCAGTGGTCGTTAGATTCTAGTTGATGATGATGATTATTATCATATACATTTATATATATATATATATATATAATATATATATATATATATATATATATATATATAAATCCTAGAGCTAAGATTAATATTATTACTAAAATTAATATTAAACTCACCAGTCTTCCGGGTTGAACCGGAATCAATGTGATTCCGGTTGAATCCAGAGAATCTACAGAAGATGGTTGAGGAACTAGATAGAAAAGCGACAGAGGTAGGTCTAGAGATGAACTATAGTAAAAACCAAGACTATGACAAACCAAGAAGACCAATTAGAAATAGTAGTCAAACAGAATAAATTAGAGCAGGTAGCAGAATACATATAGCTAGGACAGATAATAAAGCTGAACAGGGACAATCAAACAGAAGAAATAAAAAAAAGAACTATACTAGCATGGGCCTCATTTGGTAGACTCTCATATATTCTAAAAAATAAAGAGTTCCCTCAATATATGCGAACGAAAGTATTCAATCAGTGCATTTTACCAGTTATCACATATGGCTCACAAACATGGACTTTCACAAAGGAGAACATCGATAGGATATCCAAAACACAAAGAGCAATGGAAAGACAGATGCTGGGTATCAGTCTTAAAGACAGGAAAAGAAACTCATGGATCGGAGAAAAAACAAAGGTGAACGATGTATCAAGACAGGTTGCAAAACTTAAATGGAACTTCGCCGGTCACACTGGAGACCATGGGAAAAGAAAAGAAAAAGAGGAAGACCACAGATAAGATGGACTGACGACCTTAAGAGAACGGCAGGAAAGGACTGGATGCAGATCGCCCAAAATAGAGACCAATGGAGATTAACAGGGGATGCCCAAGAGTGGGCGTTTAAGGCTGATTAGATAGATAGATAGATAGACTAATGAGGTTGGGGGTGATTGTCATTGCAAACATCTGAAATGTTTTGAAAATGTTAACGATTCAGAGCATTCTCGGTTGATCAAAACGTTTAATGGGTTGAAAGACAGAAATGAATAAAACTCATTATTGGCAGGGCTAATATCTTCTTCTACAAACAGCAAGGAGGCAACGAAGATGATTATCTTCGTTGTTTAAGTAGGTACATATCTTGAGAGACTTCAATCTCACGAAAATTATTTAGAATTTATATTAGATAACTAAACAAGATTTGTTTTTCAGATTTAAAAAGACAAGACTTCCTCGAATAAAAAAAACATTTTTTGAACATAAACTTCGTTTCTTGTATTGTAAACAAAATAAGTTAATAAAATATAATCCATACAAATTATAAAAATAATTCATGTACAATTAAATTACGTTAAACAAACAGCTGTTTTGTTTAAATTCTCCCAAGTTACAGGGGAATAATGATCATTGTCCATGCAGTAGTTTTTTTGCACCAGGTATAAGAAATCGATGCTGATACAAGTTTAGTATTAGAGTTATAGCATCTCAATAAGATAAAGTTAATTTTAAAATAAAAATAAAGTGCATAAAAAACATCAAACATTCGGCACAAGTCTTTAAAGTTTAAAAACGCTCCCCTGAAAAATTTACTTTTTGTGACTACGATCGTTCTTCCCCTGTACCGTTCAAATATAAAGCATTTGAAATATGCCAAAAAACGGTGAGTTTAAACTTCCACATTACAATAAATGGCACGTCAAGTCGGCATTGAGTGGAATTTGTAGCTGAAGTTATGTAGTTTCAAAAAACGTACTTGTGTAATCGAAAAGAAGTAGTTTTAGATCGTTTGTAATGTAAAAGTTAAAATTCAGTATTGTGAGGTATATTTCAAATGCCTCATACTTGTTGCGAAAACCCAAAATCGAAATTCATGCTGTGTTTTGAAGAATATATTCTTGGAAGAGATAAACTTTATTGATCTCATGAGAATCGTAAAAAAATGGCTAACTTTGTTAGTGGTAAAAGGAAAAATTGCATACGAAATATGCTCTCTTCATATTTAAAATGCATTTTGATTTTTGTCGATATTACACTATGATTCAAAAATATCGTATTTTTAACGTCGAGTTGATACAAATTTTATTTAAAAAATTGATTTCGCGCGCGTAACTGACATTCAAAATCGCTGGACGTTCCAAACGATGTTTCTGAGAAAACGGTTCTTTCTACATACAAAATGCTAAATAATTATCTCAGCCTAATTTCTTGTTTTAAACTTTTATCCACGACGCGTACGGATTTTTAATAATTTGGTTAATCGATGTTTTACCCCTACGAGGGAGAATTTCCGGGGGTAGAAATGGCAAACTTTTTTGCACCTTTTTTGGTGTCCCATAATTAACATTCTTGGCAAAATTTAGATTGTTTGTGGTATTTTCGTCTCTGACGAAAGGAGTATATAGCAGGAATACTCTAATGTTTCATTCTTACGTATATACTGTACATCGTATAAAACAGACATTTGTATATAAATACAAATATAAATACAAAATAAGATGGAAAAGAAATAAGCACCTTTCCCAGATTCTAGAAAGAAGAAGGAGACAGGAATATTGTAAATATTGAGATGATTAAACGTTGTATTAATTAAGTTTCTTACCACCGAATCAAACATAGTTGCACATCTATTCTCTGCACTAACGCCATCCTTATCACGAACCAATACATATACATTCTTTGGATGCAATGTCCTCAATATCTTTTCTAATACAAGCTTTCCTACAAATCCCGTAACACCTGTTATTAAAAAAGACTTATTTTTGTAGTAATGTTGAATTTCACTTAGTTCTGTAGAGCCAGTCATTGTTGGTATCGACAGTAACTAAATCTGGGTTAAACTGATAATTAAAAGCTCTTTGCAATTCTTGTTTTGCATTGTATGGTAATTAAGGTTAGGGTCTATGGTAATTTTTAAATTGGAATATAAAAAACTTCGTAAAACTGCATAACGAATAAAATTAACATTCAAATTCTATTCAAATGCAGTTAAACAATGTGTTACAAGCTATAAACATGTTTAAATAAACCTTTATGTTTTAAAAACATTAACAAAAAAATTAAGCTTTTAAAAATTTAAATAGGTAGGTATCCCCAGACGTTTGATAATCACTACAAGTGTGTTCATCATATTTTGACCCAAGATGAGCATATGATTATTATTCACAGCTGTGGCTATTCGTCAATATGTTCAGGCTACACTGGATACCACAAAATACTTTATTAACAAAAGATTAAAAATTGTTTTTTAATATTTAAAAAAAAGCAATTTTTACTAAAAAAAAGTACGACAAACATCTGAACAAACACCCGTGTGATGGTTTAATAATAAAGTAAGGATAAAACACTGAAAACTTCGTTTTCAAACTTCCACAAAATTTATTTTAAATATTATCACTACAGCTGTTTCGGCTGATTGCCTTTCTCAAGTGATCTATTTTGGCTTGGGTTTACAAATTTATAGTCTCTAATGAAATAGGTTGATGAGGGGAGAACTGCTTGTCCCAAGTTGGTCATTCAGAATTATATCTGTGTTTTTTAATTTGTTGATTTCCATAGATTCTAACAAAGATAGCTTAAGGCCTTTATTTTGAATGTGAAGAATTTTAAATTTGTCATTAAAAGAATGATTATGATCTAGAAGGTGAAGTGCGTATGTCGAATCTGTTGTATGTAGAATCCTCTAAGCCCATTGCTATCAGATATTTTTATGGATCATCTAGAGACAAAGATTTCAAAACATCCCGTATTCAAACAGTTTTTATATTGGTGGAGATACGTAGATGACGTACTGGTATGTTTCACAGGAACTAGCAGGCAACTCGACCAATTTTTATCATATATTAATTCACTTCATAGTCATATTGAATTTACAATAGAAACAGAACAAAATAAATCCATAAATTTTTTAGATTTAAAAATTAGCAGACTTCAAAACAAACATGACTTCTCCATATTTCATAAACCTACCCATACTGACACGACTATACGCAATTCGTCATCCCATCCAACACAACATAAACTGGCAGCTTATCATAGTATGTTACATAGATTAACAGAAATTCCGATGTCAAAATACAACTTTGAGACAGAGTTAAATATAATTAAGCAGATAGCAGTAAACAACGGATACAACGAACAAACAATTAATAAAATGTTAAATCAAAAACTACACAAGAAAGCCCTGAAATTAGTATTTCCACCACCAGAGAAAAAACCCAGTACCTTCTGCTCGATTACATATACAGGCAAAATAACAACAAAAATTGCCAAACACATAAAAAAGAAAGGAATAACACCAGTTTTCCGAACAAATAACAACCTAGGCAAATATATTAAAAATAACAAGAGCCAAAATAAAAAACACTTAAATAGTGGTGTGTACAAACTTCAATGTAGCGACTGCCCAAAAACTTACATCGGTCAAACTGGAAGAAACTTTGATAAACGAATAGCAGAACATAAAAGGGCTTTCAAGAATAGAAAAACAGATTCGACATACGTACTTCACCTTCTAGATCATAATCATTCTTTTAATGACGAATTTAAAATTCTTCACATTCAAAATAAAGGCCTTAAGCTATCTTTGTTAGAATATATGGAAATCAACAAATTAAAAAACACAGATATAATTCTGAATGACCAACTTGAGACAAACAGTTCTCCCCACCTCAACCTATTTCATTAGAGACTATAAATTTGTAAACCCAAGCCAAAATAGATCACTTGAGAAAGGCAATCAGCCGAAACAGCTGTAGTGATAATATTTAAAATAAATTTTGTGGAAGTTTGAAAACAAAGTTTTCAGTGTTTTATTGTTACATAAAATGAGTTTCCATCAAGTAACGGTCGAATCCATCAATTTATTAATAAAGTAAGGTCTTACAGATCTAACCTTTCGCTTATTATACACATATCATATGCCACTAAGGATCCCGAATTGTTCAAAGTATATAAACAACAAAAATTTGAATATAATCGACAATTACAAACTGCTAAAATGTCATCGTACTCTAATTGTATTACTAATTCTAATAATAAACCTAGAGACTTCTGGAAAATAGTAAATTTCGAAAGAAACAACACGAGATCCAGTTCCGTACAACCTGATCTACCTCCAGACGAATTAAATTAATTGTTTACTACAATTGCAGAGAATATAATTACATCTCTTCCACTATTAATGTTGATGTCCTCTTCAATTATAGAAATTATCTATCTCCGAGCAAGTCCTTTTTTCGTCCCCTTTTGGAATAAGTGGTCTCTCAAATAATAAAATCTTTTAGTATTTCGAATTGTAGGGACGTTTACGAAATTAATATCAAAATTTTAAAAGAAACTTACCAAATAGTTTTAACACCTTTCACTCATCTTAATAATTTAATTCTATCAACTGGAGTATTTCCAGAAGTACTAAAATACTCAAAAGTACTACCAATCTACAAAAAGGTGATTCCTCAAAAACTGACAATTACAGACCCATAAGCATTGTTTCTACTTTTGGGAAATTGATTGAAAAGGTTATAAAACAACAATTTTATTCCTATTTTGAGTCAAATGATTACTTTAGCAACTCACAATATGGATTCAGAAGTGCTCGTTCTACTACGAATGCGGTATTTAATGTTGTAAGCGAGGTGATTGAGGGGCTTGAACCATTCGGATTCCGAAATGGAATGTGTACTCGAGAAAGACTATTTGCCATCAACATATTGTTTCAGCGATGTCGGGATGTAAACATTGATCTACACTTGTGCTTCGTTGACTACGAAAAAGCTTTCGATAAAGTAAGACATGAAAAACTAATATCAATACTTATGAATAGCGCATTGACAGTAAAATCATAAATATAGTGCAAACATTATATTGGAACCAAAGTGCCATAGTTCAATTTGATGTGCAACTCTCAGAAGAAATGATGATCTGTAGAGGAGTTAGACAGGGATGTGTTTTATCACCACTTTTGTTTAACGTATATTCTGAAGAAATTTTCCAAAACAGGCTCAATAATATCGAAACGGGAGTCACCGTTAACGGAAAATTAATTAACAGCGTTAACGGAAAATTAATTAACTCGAAATTGTATGTTTTTCCTAAAAAAAATACATAATCTTATTTTCTATCTTTTATTATACGATAATAAAGCTACTTCTTTTCCATAACTAATTTTTTTTAATTCTCAAATGAAAAACTAGTTAAAAACTCTTACTTGACATACAAAGATGCAAGGTTCAATAATCAAAAACAAAATAATTATTATCCCTACTTCGCACCAAATCTACACAGGTTGGTAACACTGAATTCACGTCCAATAAATGAGAAAAACGGGACATGTTCTATTTCGTCAATTTCTTCACGAATTTATTCATGAATTTATTCACGGCAAAATTAGATATCAAATTGTGCTTTACACACGTCAAATTTGACCTTGAAGCGAATTCATGAATTTTTTCGTGAATTTATTGTCGGTTTAAAGCCCGTATTAGAAGTACGTATTGAAAATTAGCACTGCTTCTATATTGAACCAAAATAAACCTAAATAAAAACATGACGATCACACTTTTAGTTGCTAACTGAATTTTTGTTTTGGTAGCTGAATGTTTCAAGAATTTTTCACTAGTTACTACCAGAGAGATAAAACAAGCACGTGCTGTAAACTTTATAACATCTTGTTAATTTAGAAAACTTTAATGGTTGCAACAGTTATCCCAAGCCCAAACCACAGTTATTCCTTCTTCTTCTTCTTGTGTCGTCTTCTAACGAAGGTTGGCGATCACTTCTTTAAACGCTTCTCGATCTTTTGCAACGTGAAATATCTGTTCAACACTGAGGTTAGTCCAATCTCTGATATTCCTCAGCCTAGATTTCTTCTTTCTTCCCAAGCCTTTTCTTCCCTTTACTCTACCTTGCATGATGACTTGCAGCAGAGAGTATTTATCGTTTCGGAGTATGTGGCCCAGATACGATGTTTTTCTTATTTTAATTGTGTTCATAAGCTTTCTGCCATGTCCAACTCGTCTTAACACTTCCTCATTTGAGACTTTTGCAGTTCAAGGAATCTTTAAAATACGCCTATATAGCCGCATTTCAAATGCCTCCAATTTTTTTTATAGATTGGCCTTTCAGAGTCCAAGCTTCTACCCCATATAGTAGTTGCGACCAAACATAACATTCGACGAACCTCAATCTGATGGCCATACTCATTTTCTTATTTGTACACATTGACTTGTATTTTATAAAGCCTTTTCGAGCTATTTCTATTCTGACCTTTATCTCCTGCTCTTGATCTAACTGTGAGTTTATAGTTGCTCCGAGGTATTTATATATGTCGACTCTCTCTAGGGGTTTACCCTCCAATGTCAGTTATATGTTGTCAACAGGGTTTTTAAGATGACCATGTATTTGGTTTTATTTATATTCATGGTTAGTCCCATATTTTTGCTTTTTCTATTAATGATTTCCAGGAGAGTTTGTAAATCGTCTATATTCTCTGCCATGATTGCGGTATCGTCTGCAAATCTTATATTATTAATGATGCTCCCTCCAATCCTTAAACCTTCAGTTCTTTCCCATAGTGCCCCCTGAAATATTAGTTGGGAGTACACATTAAATAATTGTGGTAACAGCACACATCCCTGTCTGACTCCTCTTTGAATTTCCACCTAGTTTGATTGTTTGATACGACCGCTGTTTGATTGTAGTACAGATTTTTGATTAAATTAATATCCTTGGGATCTAGGTGTATGTGTTTCAATGCATGTATGAGTTTACCATGTTGGACTCTATCAAAAGCTTTTTGGAAATCTATATAACATATGAATACGTTTTTATTATATTCCCTGC